GGTAGAGTTAGAAATATTGTACCACCCTGAAGGAAAGATAGTTACCAAAAAATTATATTCAATTTTGTAATTTTAGAGGCATAAAAAAGGTACTTGATACTGTAGCCGTAATTAACAAATGAGAAAAACATCACTGTTTATAGGAAAGAAAGAAAATGAAAGAACAAGTTTTTTAACTTCAAAATTTAATTAAAGAGTATGTACACAACCAAGATAATTGTGAGAAAACAAATATACAAATCATAAAACAAAATTCTGCCATGAAGCTACAAGTAATTAAATTGCACAAAAGTAAAGGAAAGTGTTCAGGCACTAATGTGTGCCCAATTTACTACACTGCCAATATACACAAATATTTTGATGAAAATCACCCTTCAATGGTCATTTTAAAAGTTTTTCTCATCAAATCACAATTATAAGCTTAACATACACTACAACATTTAAGTAAGACCTACAAGGTGCAGAGAAGAACACAAAATTCTTACTGATTAATTCTGGCCAGTATGGTTGTAACAGGGTTGTTGATCAAAAGATTTAGTGGACTTCCGAGCTGAAGACTACACAATTCAAACATATTGAGGGATGTGACCTTCTAGTCATGTATCAGTCACAAAACCTGATTTTGTTTTACCATTAATAGGCAGTTGTGATCAATACATTTTTGTGTGCAGTAGAGTAATTAGTCTATGAATTTATTTAAAGATAATGACATATTGGACTTTATGAAAAACATTTACATAAATAGTATGTTCACAATTGATATTTTTTATAAATAAAAAAATGCAAAACCTGAATAATATTTTTTTTTCTGACCTTCTTGTTTTTCTGTCCCTTTATGATGGCTATGAATTTTTGGTATGGAAGTAAGGGGGTAAATGGAGAAATACATCAAGCCGAGGGGGTTAATGATGGAGGAAAAGTTGAGAATCCCTGCTGTACAGCTTTAAATGTTTATCATGTAATACGAATCTCTCTCGAATAAGCCACCATTTCAGAGAAGAACACTAAGTTGAATACAGACATAGTACAATATTAACCACACACACACAAATGTTAAAGGAAGCCTACTACATCCACCTAAATGATAACACATCCAACCTAGCATAGAAGTCTACAAAACCTCTCCTGAAAACATACAAATACGGTTAAAGTCCTAATGTTCCAGATGAGTGGATAGCACATCAGCTTCTCTATTAAGAGGACCCAGGATTGAATCCTGGCTATTACAACTACAGAAATAGTCTTTCTCAGGATTTTCCTATTAGCATTATTAGAAGCCAAAACATAGAAAGAAAGTTAGTAATTATAATCTAATTACAAGAAAGAAAGACAAACAAACAAGACTAAGATGATTGTTGAGGCTACTAACTACGACAACAATATACAGCTTTGATCACGTCTGTATACTGTCAGAGCATTAACTGAAAAGTTATTTTGGCATACCAGATAATTTCTGAAATATGTGTTTCTTAGGAATTTTACAATAGACACTACTCTTACTGAGTAAACCAAAAAATAATAGACACTACTCTTATTGAGTAAACTGAAAAACAATAGACACTACTCTTACTGAGTAAACTGAAAAACAATAGACACTACTTTTACTGAGTAAACTGAAAAACAATAGACATTACTCTTACTGAGTAAACTGAAAAACAATAGACATTACTCTTACTGAGTAAACTGAAAAACAATAGACATTACTCTTACTGAGTAAACCAAAGAATAATAGACACTACTCTTATTGAGTAAACCGAAAAACAATAGACACTACTCTTACTGATGAAACTGAGAACAATAGACACTACTCTTACTGAGTAAACTGAAAAACAATAGACATTACTCTTACTGAGTAACCAAAAATAACACTCTACTCTTATTGAGTAAACCGAAAAACAATAGACACTACTCTTACTGATGAAACTGAGAACAATAGACACTACTCTTACTGAGTAAACTGAGAACAATAGACACTACTCTTACTGAGTAAACTGAGAACAATAGACACTACTCTTACTGAGTAAACTTAAAAACAATAGACACTACTCTTACTGAGTAAACTGAAAAACAATAAACTACTCTTACTGAGTAAACTGAAAAACAATAGACACTACTTTTACTGAGTAAACTGAAAACAATAGACACTACTCTTACCGAGTAAACCGAAAACAATAGACACTACTCTTACCGAGTAAACCGAAAAACAATAGACACTACTCTTATTGAGTAAACTGAAAAACAATAAACACTACTCTTACTGAGTAAACTGAGAACAATAGACACTACTCTTACTGAGTTAACTGAAAACAATATACACTACTCTTACTGAGTAAACTGAAAAACAATAGACACTACTCTTACTGAGTAAACCGAAAAACAATAGACACTACTCTTACTGAGTAAACCGAAAAACAATAGCCACTACTCTTACTGAGTAAACTGAAAACAATTTTTGAGACTTCAAGTTACTTAAATACCTTGTGTGCATACGTCAACTCTGACTGGTCAGAAATAGGTTACACTTTGAACATAGATACTCTTGGACAAGTGGAGTGCTTTAAACAGCAAATTACCTAATGTATAATGTTTTAGTTAGTAATAGCAAAAAAATCAAATCAATCTGAGCATTTTAACACCTTGGATTTATCTCGAATTTGAATACCAACTAAAACACTAACTTATAACCATACAGAGCTGGGTGTAACAAGTGTATGCTGTGTCATCTCGTTCTTTCTCAATGAACTTTTCAAGAAATGTGAATAAAACCTCACCTTATCTACAGCCTTTTTAACACTTTCAGGGTTGTTAGCAGTTACAAAGGCATGAAGGGGCTCATCTTCACCAGGTAGTGGCTGACCATCTTTTCGTCCAACTTTACCTTCTTTTACTGATCCTTTACCTCTAATGATGATCTTGGCTCCCGTCTAAAAGATCATCATCATAAAAACAATGAACTACATAGAAAAGTATTTAATCCCTTTTGCAATGGTCTCCTGGAACTTGCAGGAGCCCAAATGGGGAAGGATACTTGTGCAACAATACCTACTGTAACTCCTCACAAAAAAACTGGAAATATTCTTTTAAAGATTATATGTATCTTGTACATAAAGAATGACATTATTTTAATTATGTCTGTCTAATAAAAATGTTATTTATCTATTGTATCTACTCGCACTGAAACTGAACAGTTCGAGTACAAGGTGATTTTCACTCTAGGTACTAAAATACTTTTCCTCATTTTACAATTTTTGAGTTTTATTTGCATAACTTCCTAAATGAATTAAGTTTTTCAAGGTAAATGTTTATTTTTCATTTTCTCTATCGTATCATTAACTGTAGATATTATCGTCAACATACAGTGCAATGAAATGTTTAAGGAACAGAAAATGTATGTATATTTTAATTTTTCATAGAATACACTAAAAGATCTTCTAGTTTGTAATTTCAGGTCCTTTTTACATATAGGTTAATTTGAAATATTTTATTTTCTATTCCTGTCCTTTACCATTAATTATTAATCTGAACATAAGTCAACGATGCCCTTGGGGCGTATTAGTATCTTCAAGAGAGATGTGCAAGCCTTAAGCAAAATTATCTTACACTTGCACAAGATCGTAGGCCTTGAGAACTGAGACAAAGTTTGAGATTTATTTAAAAAATCTTTAAGCCTTTCAATTACACATTTTAAAACATAAATAATATATAATTAACTAAGATATAAAAGTAAAACCTAAATACAATTTAACTGTCTCTCTAACTATAACACACTTAGGTAAAAAAACAACCATGTAAGTGCTACTGTGGATAAAGAGCCAACAATATTACCATCAGTTACATCTACCGGTTGATGACAAATGATCACCAATTTAAAAATAACTATTGTTGGATTATAGTGTAAAATGGGCTCTTTCTAATGGTTATAAACATGTGCATCAAGTAAGCACATATGGCTTGTAAATCTCAAGGCTTTGCATAAAAGATTGGGGTGGCACTTGTCAGGGGTTAGAATAATTCATCTATTGTTTCAACTGAACTCAACCAAAGAACTTTCAAAGATACATGTAAATAGCACAGTACGTGTGGCTTTTGTCTATACATACGTCTACAGGATTGTAGTTATTTGATTCAAGATGCTGATATTTTTCATAGCTTGTCACAACAAAACTGAAGTTAAATATTTTTTAATGGTTTCTTTTGAAATAAAAGAACTAAAACTTAGATAACTTTGAATCATAACATGTACATTATACTGTTCAATTGTAATAAGGTATATCAAATAACTCTATCTGGACAAGATGGATGTTACTGATGTTGATTAATTGTTTTTCCCTTCTCATAGTGGAAACACTTAACCAAGTTACATGAAATTTAGAGAGCTATTTTTCTTTTTACTGTGGAAGAAACAGGAGTGAGAAGAACAAATGAAACTTTTGGTTGGTTCTTGGTGCCAGTCCATAAAGGCTGGTATCCAGGAACTACCTAGGCCCCTAGAAACTAGAGGGAGTCTCTGGTACATTCTAAGTTATTTTGAGGTACTAGATATGTTCGCATTATTTACTGGTCAGTAAACACTGGACTTTTGTCACTTTAACTCATACTCCAATGGTCAAATTAAAGAACTGTTAGCTTAAAAATAAATTGGAATGATTAAAGCAATTTATTAAAAACTGATCATTTCATGAAATACAAAGACAATAATTGTACAAGGGCAAATTACTGACCAATTATTTACAAACTTAGTATTTTAAAAGGCAGATATGTAATATCATGTACGTCCACATACGAACACCTGTATCCTACCAGACGTTTTCCTTTCAATTCTGATTTCTTGTGTATCTGATATTCCCTAATCTAAACAAGTCATTTCATGAATTATTTAGGCCACACTTGTACAGATCAATTTTCATTAGGGCAAAGTACCGACCAATCATTTACGAATAGTGTTTAAAAAAGTAGATTCAGCACAATTTCTTGTTCCTAAAATATTACACCTCCACATCTTTAACCCATTCGTGTATAGCATGAGGCTGAAAATAACTTCAGGATCTGTGAATTCAATATATATATATATGTAATATATTTACATTTGAAGTTTTGAAGACAATTTAAAAAATGTTGTTACATACCTATGCCCCCTCAACCTTCATTGGATCATGTCTATCTCTGTCCTATATGTCAATCCACACATTAAAAACAATGTATTCTATGTAATTCTAAAGAAATGAAGTGCATGTCAAAAGATTAAAAGCCTACCTATACACTGTTCCTTTTCAAATCATCCATCATTTCACATTAACAAGTTAATGGATTACTGAGGATACATTTGATATCAAAAAAGTTCCAAATGGGTGGCTGGTGCCAATCAACCATTTAAAGGAGCCTCACATATTGATTTAGGTTTATCATAAACATCAAAGTAGACAAGGCATTCACAAATGGAGCCTGATAATACTGGCATTTTGTACCACCTCTAACAATACTGACGTTTTGTACCCCCTCTAACAATACTGGCGTTTTGTACCACCTCTAACAGTACTGACGTTTTGTACCACCTCTAACAATACTGACGTTTTGTACCCCCTCTAACAATACTGGCGTTTTGTACCACCTCTAACAGTACTGACGTTTTGTACCACCTCTAACAGTACTGGCGTTTTGTACCACCTCTAACAGAACTGGCGTTTTGTACCACCTCTAACAATGCTGACGTTTTGTACCCCCTCTAACAATACTGACGTTTTGTACCCCCTCTAACAATATTGGCGTTTTGTACCACCTCTAACAACACTGGCGTTTTGTACCACCTCTAACAACACTGGCGTTTTGTACCACCTCTAACAACACTGGCGTTTTGTACCACCTCTAACAATACTGACGTTTTGTACCACCTCTAACAATACTGGCGTTTTGTACTACCTCTAACAACACTGGCGTTTTGTACCACCTCTAACAATACTGACGTTTTGTACCACCTCTAACAATACTGGACTTTTGTACCACCTCTAACAATACTGGCATTTTGTACCACCTCTAACAATACTGGCATTTTATACCACCTCTAACAATACTGGCGTTTTATACCACCTTTAACAACACTGGCGTTTTGTACCACCTCTAACAATACTGGCGTTTTGTACCACCTCTAACAATACTGGCATTTTATACCGCCTCTAACAATACTGGCATTTTGTACCACCTCTAACAATACTGGCATTTTGTACCACCTCTAACACTACTGGCGTTTTGTACCACCTCTAACAATACTGGCGTTTTTTACCACCTCTAACAATACTGGCATTTTTTACCACCTCTAACAATACTGGCGTTTTGTACCACCTCTAACAATACTGACGTTTTTATACCACCTCTAACAATACTGACGTTTTATACCACCTCTAACAATACTGACGTTTTATACCACCTCTAACAATACTGGCGTTTTATACCACCTCTAACAATACTGGCGTTTTTTACCACCTCTAACAATACTGGCGTTTTTTACCACCTCTAACAATACTGGCATTTTTTACCACCTCTAACAATACTGGTTCCTCATTTTACTAAATGATTTCTTATAAAAATACTAATGTATATAACAAACTTGTACTTATAATTCTCTAATTCATAACTGTTAAGAAGTCATGTACACTTAAATACCAGAATTTTTTTCATCTTATCATATAAACAGTTACTCACTTCTTTCTCCATGGATTTCAGAGTGTTCCCACGAGGACCAATCAAAAGTCCAACAAAGTTGATATCAGGATGCTCATCTTGAGGTATCATCACTTTTTCACTCACTCGTACAACTGGTGGTCTGTAAGTACCACAAATCAATTACAATACAGCTCTCATATAAAGAAGGAACCTGATGATTTACAGAAACTCATCTGTACACATTAGAAGTACTGATCATCTCCTGGAAACCAGAGATACATTTTAGGTAAGACTTGAAATAACAAATTAAGAATGGCTGTGATGACGTATCAAAACTTTAATCATAAAGGATATGCTGCATGTACAATTATACCAACAAACTGGAAAAACTTAATTGGGCTAGATCAGATTACTAAGAAAATAAAGAAACTGATAAACATGAAAAGAATACGAAGAATGATCAATAATACATAATTTACAAATAGCTACAATAAATTTCCATTATCAACACTAAAATTAGAGACAACTAATTCACACCAAATGATTTTATTTGAACAACTAACACTCACTTATAATCTGCAGGTGGTTTGTAATCGGTATTGATAGAAAACATTTCTTGAATCAAGCTATGCCTTTCATCTTCAAGCTTCTTCCTGGCACGATACTCCCGCGTGTTTAAACGCTTGCCCTCGCTGTTATAGATTGGTTCAGGAGAAGGAGACCTGGACACATAAAGGCGAAAGGAGAGTGACATTTTGTTTAGTTTCTTCTTTCACTACATAATATCAATAACACAAACAGAAGTAAAATACCACAATAGTGATATTGTTCAAACCTTTTAATAATACTGATAACTGTTTTATAAAAATAGCACCTAAAGGTTTACCCAAAGAATTTATAAAACCCACTCATTCCAGCTTTATTCTGTAAAAGCAAGAACTATTTAAAACCAATTATAAAATTCTAAGAATGGTTTGAATTAAACTAAGAAAATCAGTTGTCAATTTCGTCTAATACACCATATTATAATTAATTCTACTTTATTGTGTGAACATTTGTCATCAATAATATTTGTTTTCAATTCAAATGTTAATTTACTTCCTTCAAAATACCAAACTCCAAAACAATTATTTGTGTATCATGGGACTCAACATTATATTATTCTAATAATATATATATATAACGATTATTCATAAGTTAATACTCATTGTTTCAACTTTCAATGATACTAATACATCATGTTACAACTATTCATGGATCATATGAGCATTGTACAGAATACAGATTTTAGAAATTGGTAACTAAGAGATATGGATAGCATGTGGCCTAAAGGAAACTCAACCATGTAAAACAATACTACAAACTTCTTAAATCAGAGATCTAATAACACTGCTAAAACAAAGATTGTACATTTATAAACTTTGTGAAACTTGAAAGTTACTGATTAATTAAAAACCATAAATACTTTTCGAAATCAAATTCAATAAAAACAATTAAAGTACAGTTCCTAAAACCACTGTGTTAAAGGTCAGTGCAAAGATTATTTTCAAATGCAACAGTATTACAATATCATTATGAAACTTCAGATTCATACACAGCAGTTATTGGAATGTATTTATATCCTCCTGTGTGGGGTGGGAGAATCTTATTGATAAGTCCATACCAAATTGGAAATCCCCCCATAATAATCTCTATTGAATCCAAATCTTGGTCTTTCAGTTTCTGTTTTAAATTGCTTTGTTTTCATGATCTCGTTACAATTCTACCTTATCAGTAGACAGCATGTGATGGGTATTCAGAAATACCTTAGTTGGATGATGATCATTAAGCATTCTCAAAACCTTACATTAAAAAAGAATATAGTTTGTGCTTCATATTCCGGTGGGAGATACCCACAATTCCTTTCTAACACATGGTGATGATGCTGGCATGGTTAACCTGGAATTAAATGATGGTTTGCATTATAATGTTCCACTTAAATTAAGAAGTGCTAATGATGCCTCTTTGACTACTATCAACAGTGGGTTTTCTGCACTGCAGTGGATAATTAGAAAGTGCTAATGATGCCTCTTTGACTACTATCAACAGTGGTTTTTCTGCACTGCAGTGGATAATTAGAAAGTGCTAATGATGCCTCTTTGACTGCTATTAACAGTGGTTTTTCTGCATTGCAGTGGATATTTTGGAGCCATTCTTGACAACTACAGGTAATTAGAAACAGAAATGCATTTTATTTTTCTATTAGAAACTAAATATATTCTGATTAATCATATTGAAAGAAACCTGTTTTCCTGTGGCCACAGAAGGTGTCTTCTAAATGTCATAATCTAGAATGATTCCATGTAAAATTATTACATCAACTGGATAAGCGAAGTCCAGTTGACATCTGTTTATTAACGTTACATAGGTTTCCCACAGGGGGGGAGCTCATTGATAGAATAGCTTCAATGTAGTGCCAACACATTTCATATGCCTTACCACTGTCATCACTGACCTGCAGTGAGAAGAATAATGCTGCAAACTCTGGGTTAAAGAATATAGATTATATATAACACACAAAACTACAATGGCTGTAGTTTACTTTGAAAAACTAAGAAACTCTAGAAAACACTGAAATATCTAAGTACAGAATGATAAACTCTGTAATTTGTTTTGTAAAGTGTAATTAGAAGGCCAATTTGGCTAAAAGTTTGGAAATAACAAGTTTAATGAAGAAATTCAGTAGACACCACTGTGACAGGAATTTTATCCTACCTAGAATAATTAAAAGTTAGAATAAAACCATCCATGGGGAAATCTTGTCAGAAGATGTCAACTTAAAAAAAAATCTCTATACAAGGAAAAAGATCAATATTCTATAATTTGTATTGTAAAATATGCAGCAACTTAGTTTACTGTGGAAATTAGTGGTTACTTAGACCATAACTTCCACAAGAGTTTTAAAAAACACATATAACCAAATATAATTAAGAAGTATTTTACCAACTAAAATCCACAGAAATGACAGAATGTAAATTTGAAACTGTAGTTTTAGGACAGAAACCTGTAAATATCAGATTGAGATTTTAAATAATAACTACCTATTTAACTTATTAACATCACATTGTTTTATCTGAAATTACTTAATACAATTAAATGTCTCCCTAGTTACGTCCTCGAGAACAATCTCTTACTTGACATCTTCCAATAGTACTAAATATGGAATTTTAACATGGAATGTGTGAAGAAGTCAATGGCAAACTCAACATTCACATAACTGCTGAAATTATTAAAACTTTAAAATTATTTGATGCACTTATGAAAGAACAGCTTTCTGTAAGGATGGAATTTTACTAGAAAATAAATATTTACAATGTAAGTTCCTTCACTTGTAATACAATTACTATGTATCAATGAAATAATACACATGCAATACTCACAATACTTAAGTCACCCCTTCTCCATCATATTTGGTTACAAATCCTTCCCAGTTACTATGTATCAATGAAATAGTACACATACAACACACACAATACTTAAGTCACCCCTTCTCCATCACATTTGGTTACAAATCCTTCCCAATTACTATGTATCAATGAAATAGTACACATACAACACTCACAATACTTAAGTCACCCTTCCTCCATCACATTTGGTTACAAATCCTTCCCAATTACTATGTATCAATGAAATAGTACACATACAACACACACAATACTTAAGTCACCCCTCCTCCATCACATTTGGTTACAAATCCTTCCCAATTACTATGTATCAATGAAACAGTACACATACAACACTCACAATACTTAAGTCACCCCTCCTCCATCACATTTGGTTACAAATCCTTCCCAATTACTATGTATCAATGAAACAGTACACATACAACACTCACAATA